ATATATACCACTTCAACTCTTGCCTGTCTACAAAGCAAACGCTGAGCTCCGACTTATTTATTGAGAATCTCCGAACTTCCTTCCATTATAAATTCATTGTCGATCTCTTGAATCAACACAACCTATGAGGGTAATTACTACTCATGTATGGATGTGATTTCATTCTCCATGAAACATGTGCAAACGCTCCCCGTAGAAAACAACACATGTTACATCCCCATCCAATTATACTTAAGGTCGTTGTCAATGGATATAATTGATCATCAAATGTTACTCCCTAACTTTAGACCCAAGAGAAGCACCAAGATGCCATGTCTGCGCAATATATAACAATCATTAGCCAATAAGTTGGATCGAATATGAATTCCTTACATCTACCTTATCGTACAAAGCAATAATGTATAAAGAGGACAAACACTTTTCATACAAACTAGTTTTTTCTAACACAACCAAATATTTTGCTCTCTAGATCTTGTGAGTATAAGAGTTAAGGATTGGCTCGAGATCAAACCTGGTATATTAAGGTGATGACTCTCCTCGCTTGGCGATGCAGAAATGAGGGGAAGAATCGTTAGGGTAAAAACCGGCATAATCTTTGGATTTTATCTGATTTAAGAGTATTTACAAGATGAACTTCTCTGCTGATTTTTCACCTTATGAACCCATGGCTACTCCAAAGGAGATTTGGGTAGTTTTGATAATGTACTTCTCCTTCTTTTCCCTTTACTTATATACACACACACACACAAGTAAAATCTAGGTTATGGTTGTCTTCTTATGATGATGATATATAACTATATTGATACATTATATGTTTTCAGATCTAGATCTATACATTTCGTTTCGTGATAGTGGCAATATGTTAATATTAAAAAAAAAAATTCATCATTAGTTAACTACTACACATTCAATGTTTTCAGGTCTCGATACAGTCTTTATGTCAAAAAGTCTTGTTTTCGAATCGAATCTTTAATAACCCACTGAGTGTACTTTCATCATTCTATAAGATTATTTAAGTTTTTTGCTTTTCATGTTTTTGGCATTTGTTGTAGAAATTGGGGATGGTCAAGGCCTTCAGGGCGTACATTCTCATCGTATACAAATAATTAATTGGCCATGTTGATTTTTTCAAAATCATATAATCCGTAATTCGTTATTGAGCACCTATAGTATAGTCTACACTTTACAAACACTAATAATTGGTTTTTCTTTTTAAGGTTTGTTTCCTAACAGCTAAGCTTGACTTTGAAAATTTGGATCGATCGGGACGTGTACTCTTAATTTTTGGTTCATTCTTTTTGTTCT